TTTCCCAGTTCAGGAATGCACTGTGCAGTTGGGGGTGAAATGTCACAGTCATCATTCACCTGTGTGCTTTTGGCTCAATGTTTTTGTGATGTTAAGTTAGTCTTTTGAGTAAAGAGCTGTTGGGTTGTGGGGGTGAGTCCTGCAGTTGCAAACCTTTAACCATGGATCATATGGCTCGGTTTAAAAAATATTCCACTTTTCCCAGAGAGCAGAATCAATACATCCTCAGCTTAATAACAGCCTTCTTGTCAATTAGAACTAACGATGCCATTGCAGAACACTGGCTTTAAAGGGCAAACTCTGCTTAATTGCTGTTTCCCCCCACCCCACTCTGATTATGTACATGCATCATTGGGCTTCATGGACGATGAAAGTGGGGCAAAAGAAGGTTTGGGGGGTACATCTGGTTTTAGTGAAGGTGTACGTTTCAACCCCGACCTTGTCAGTGAGTTATATGCAGTGAGACTAGGCTGCCTAGATACAGTCACAGCCTGCGCCTGAGCAGCATGGACCTGTATAGAGTCCACTCTCTGCGGGGCAGGAGGAGGGTTGTCTCCCCTGCCAAAGCTCTGATTTCGGGAGAGGTGGGAGGAATTAGAGGAGTTAGTATTGTTTCTTTTGAGAGTCGATGTCTGGTGATTTCTCGTGAGTGAGTTCGTAGGGTAGTTCCTCTTGTAGTCCACATTATATGCGGAGGAATGCATCTCCAAGCGCTTGCTCAGGCCACTCTGAGAAAGAGAGGAGCTAGGAGGCCCAAGGGAGGCTTCCCTCTGGGGTACTTTTGGTGGCATGCTATCAAGATTTTCCACCAGGTTGACCCCATGGTTGGGGCTTTTGCTGCTGAGATGCTCCTTTATGGTTTTGTACTCAAGGGTGGCATTCTGGTCCTCCACAGCCATCTGTGCCACATCGCTCATTTTTGGCTGATCCACATACTCGTGCTGATACCCTTGCTGAGAGATTGGCAGGACCACAACACTTGGGATGTGGCTGGGAGAAGCCCTCAGAGGCAGGTCAGTCGGGATCACAGGCGAGGCCATTGGGGGGATGTCTTTTGTGCAGGCATTGATGAGATTCTGGTTTCTTTCCCATTCCCTGCTTCCACGACTGGGCTTTCTCTTCTGTTGCAAGGTTGGGGTGGATTCAGGGGTTGGCAGAGCAGCCAAGTCCAGGTGGTGCTGGTCAGCTTTGATTAACATTTTGGCTGTGCTGCCGGGTGTAGCCAGTTTGCCGTTGTGCATCAAAGGTGTGAGGATAGCTTCTGGCTTTGGCTCCTTAGACTGAGTGTCTCCAAAGAGGCCACTCAACTTGGTAACACTGCTCATGGAGCCACGGCGGGAGTGTGTCAGCTCCTTCTCCTTCCTCTGCACAACAGCCACGTCTCTGCGGCGATGGTCACAGATGCAGTAAACTATGATTCCTGAGAAGACGGCCCCCATGACAAAAGCAAGAATGACTGCAATGGCCAGGAGGGTGACGGGCACCAGCTGATCATGACCTTTGAGATAACTCTCACGAATCACTCCTGAAACAAACATCACAGGGAGGTAAGTGGTCAAGTAACAAAAGCATCTTATTCTACCTAGCCCATTCAGAAATGTTAACTCGGGATTTTATCTGTGATCTGTGAGGTGCTTTTTCATTGACTACCCGAAATACAAAACCATACTATACCTGCCAGCTGGATGTCGTCTTGAGCAGAGATGGGCTCAAGCTGTAGAATTCAGACCCAAGTGTGAATGATAGAAAGTTTGGGGGAGGGGGAGAGAGAGATGGCTATTGGCGGGGAGCTGGGGATCATTCTTTATAAAAACATTGGCAGTCTGGATCTGTCTTAGAGACCAGATTTCAAAACAGCCCCAAAATTCCAGGAGATGGTAACCTGGTCCTTTTTTGGTCATTTTAAAGCTCACATTAACTTCAGTAAGGCTGGGAATTCACCCCCTAGTCTTCTTCTGGATTGTGTCTAATTCTGAGACATACCACTCATGCATGTCTCCCTCCATCCTGTCTCTCGACAGGCTGATGTTATCATACACTTTATTACCATACATTTTTGACATTGGAAAAGCTTTACATTGAGGAAACAGAAGCTTTATGCAAGTGACTGAAATGAATTCCACAGGCTTTTAAGCTTCCTTCCTTGCTTTTTACTGGTGGTCTCTGTCTCATGTCTGGACTTAAACACAATGTCACGGAGTGTCCAAGTAACTTTTGGGTACAGAGGCCAACTCTCAAATCAATGGAAAGCTCCAGATTTCAAATGCCATTGCTAGTTTAATTTTAAAAGAAATCTCTCTTGTTCTGGACAGGTAAATATGCTGATCTCAATGCTGAAACTTTTGCTGCTTCAGCTGCAAGTTCACACAGTGAGGGCACCATTTTATGACACCGCACTGTGCTTGGAGATGTCGTCAGGTCCCTATGGCTTGTTGTCACAGTAGGCTTCTTCAGCAGAGCTAATCTCAACTTAATAAAAATAATGTGAAAGCACCAGTCAATAATCTTACAGAACATTAACCAAGATATTGCATTTTTAAAGGAAGTTGCTACTTTTACTTAATCATGCACCAAGCCAGCAGGCTTTTAATAAAATACAAGCACAAATCCTTTTTTCAAAAATATCAAGTGAGGAGTTGTCACAACTGTTGGTTTATAAGTGCCAGATAAAGCAGTAAAAAACCCAATCTCTAATACCCTATACACTTCTTTGGAAAGAATGGAAGTGCATTAAAAGCACCACATGCTGGAAAAATATAAAATGTGTTCTTATTAAGGAAGAGATAGTAAGAGAGAAAATGTACCTCAAAGGGCCTCATGAGACTTTGTGAAGATTTACATTCTTCGTGTCTTAAATCAAAATCAGCAGTTTCTGGAATAATGTCTTTTATGTATTTGGCAGGCGGATATCAGTGGCCCATAATTAGAACCAAAAAACCCACAAAACAAAACTCACCATGCCAGCCACTTCCCCCCAAATGAACAAAAACTAGCCAACTACGTCAAATAACATTAAAAAACTGCTGTTTCCTCATGGAGTTTTGATAAGCATCTTATTGATATACAATTTTACTTCTATAATGTATGGTTTCTGTTCTTGTTTCAAGTATAGTGTGTAAGTGGACAAGGGATATTTGCATACAAGGCTTTTATTTTTAAAAAGCTAAACAGCTCTTGAAATTATAATCCCTTGTTTGTGACATCACAGTTGGTTGCCATGGAAATTATTGTGCTCTGACAAATAGAGGATTATGATTTCATGTGGGGAATAAATAGCAGGAGCAGATGATCCTTTAAAAACAAAGTTATAAAAGAATAAGGAAAGAAAAATTAACCCCAGAAGGTAAACAATAGATAAGTAGAAGCAATATCCAAATTAAATGATTTTCACAATCTTTCAAGAAGCTTTAGGAGGTTTATGAAGGAGCAGGTCTGGTTACACTACTCCATTAGGAGTAAATGCAGTAGAATATGGTGCTCTTGTGGAGCATAAGCTAATAACAAGAAAATTCAGAGCTAACATTTAAATTTCAGTCAAAAGACAAACCCATACAGAATATTAATAAGAAGCATGGTCTAATGGTTAAAGCCTAGGACTTGGGCTCGCTTATATATGACTCCAGGCAATTGCCTTAACTTCTCTGGACCTCAGCTGCCTCAACTGGTATGTGAGGATGATACTTAGCTATGCCATAAGGGTGCTTTGAGCCAAAGCTAATTTATATTTGTAGAGTTCTTTGAAAGTTTGGGCTGGAAGTCCTGTAAGGATGGTCACAAATGTGTTAGGCTGGATCTGCAAACATACTCTTAGATAAAGTAAGATAAGCAAGGAAGAGCTTTGGACATAATGTCATGTTAATGGAGTAGACTGATTTTCATCCTACGTCTAATCCAACTGGCTTCAATTACATGAGTATTCCCAACAACTTCAACTTTAATCATATGATTAGAACTAGACAGGATTTGGCCCAGATTAAATGAAGTTCAGAGCATGGATAAGATAGAATAAATAAAAAATATTTGCTATGATCTGATTGATCTGTCTTGTTATGTGAAAGGAGTGGATAATCTCAAATCATTAGCAAAGTATTAGCATCATTAATGGCAGTCTCAATAGTGAATTGGCCTGTGATCTAGCCTACCTCTTTGTATTAAGCTACAGTTGCCCTGAAAGCACACTGATGGGACAGTCTGAGGAATCTTGCCTTGCTGCTGCCCATGCTTTATTTGTGCTATGGTTATATGCAGGGCAGCAGCGGCCAGTCTTCTCAGAAATATTTCATGAACACTGATTAGTCAAAACAAGGGGTAGATATGTAGAACCTAGACTCTTGAAAGTCAAATAAAATATGGAGTATACAATGTATCAAATAATCAAATCTTTATCTTTAAAGAAACAGCAGGTAAATCATAATAAGGCCATCATTATTCAGAAGTCCATCTTGAGTATATGCACTGCATGAAATCATAGTAACACACAGCATGTTGGATAATGAATTATCGAGGGTAGCAGGGTTGAAACCAGATTATAATCAGTTATAGACATGGATTTTACTATGATAATTTTATAATACATAGTAAAATAATAAGATGTACTTATACAAACATGTATTTGCAATTTTAAATTACCTATCTTGTAATTCCTTGGTTGTACTTCTATGTTTCATATAAGAAATTTGTGCTATTTATTTCATTTTATGTCATTTTAGTGTATTAGAAGGATTTTTTATAACTCAATCATATCTTTAGGTAAATTTGAAAGATTGTCGTATGAACATTTTCCTTTTATTTGCATAAAACATGTGAAGGTAAATCTTCACAAATCATAACAAACTCCTTAGAAACATTATTTTAAATGTGATATTGATTAAATGTATGCAAATGAATCTGAGGAGAAGGACTTGTACAGACAGTGGTGGAAAATCTCAAAACCTTCAGAGGACTGAACTTGTGGGGAGTTGCACCTCTATGGACCAGATCCTCTGTGTAACTAATGTCAATGTATTGATACTTATCAATCCTCTTGAAATCCTCAGCTAGGACCAACTGTCTTTCCCCCTAAACATCACTCTACTTTCAAAAGTCTTTGCAGCTTCATATTTAATATACCATCAACTAGTCATCTGATATGTTGCCCCTTTTGCTGATTGTTCTGGTTCCTGGAGAGAAGCAAATAACTTATTCTGTTCTCCTCCAGTTCTCCCTCTTCAGTGCAGCTTATTCTATTACCCCAGAGCAGTTGTATCAAGGATCCACTTTTTCTGGGACTGCTAATCTCACCATTTTAAAAAGTGATTCTGTCTTCCCTCAGGGTTTATGTCCAGTAGTTTATGAGACTGTTAAATTGCAAAGCATGTGCAAGATAATCTCTCTTTCTTAAAATTACTTATCTAATGGGAGAGTGGAATGGGCCCCTTTAATCCTCATTATGGGGGGGAGGGGGGCAGACCCTTTCAGAAGAACAAGACAGGCTGAACGCCACCCCCATTTGAGAAATATAAGGAAAGGTCCTAGCAGCAAGAGGCAGAATGACTTGGAGCAGGGAGAAGGACAGAGCTTCTGCTGGAGGAAAACAGACTGAGGGGAAATGACTGTGGGTAAGCCTTGGGGGGAAATGGAATGAAGCCTACTAGCAGAGACCTACCAAAATCATGGTGGAAATGGGCTGCACAGCAGCTCCTTTAATCTTGCAGGTTCCCCCATGTACCCCCCACCTCGCTGATTGGCTGAGGGGCCCTGGTGGTCCTGTTCTTTGTTGCTGACCAGCCAGGAGGCAAAAATGGTGCCAAAAACCATGGTTTTTGTCTCCCTGCTGATCAGGAGTGAGCAGTGGGGCCCCTCTGCCAATTGGCAAGGGGGCATGTGGGGAAAACTGCAAGATTAAAGGAGCTGCCATGCAGTGCACTTCCGCCGTGATTTCAGTAGTTCCCTACTAATACACAGCAATAATGGCCAGCTGGCCCCATCCACAAGGATTAAGAAGTATGGAAAGGAGGGGAGGCCAGGGGAAAAAACTGTAGGACTACCAGGCAGGAATGAGTCCAATAGAAATAAACAGTGAGACTGAATGGACACTAATCAGAAAGGCTGAACAAAGGAAACAGGATACTGGGAGGCTCAGTAAAATCTCATGCCCTGTC